CATCATCATCATCATCATCATCATCATCATCATCATCATCATCATCATCATCAGGTACTCAAAGTGGCAAGCCGTCCACTTCACGATGGGGAGTACCGTTTTCAACGATGACAGTCACAACCAATGGGGAAGCTCTGCAGACGACACTGCAAAGAGGCACCTCTACTCGCCAGTCAGGGAGAAAACATCAAGAAGATCTGCCTTTTGGCATCAAGCACGTCCCAGCGTGTCATAGCTGCACCGACCAGATCATCAGAATCGGTAAAGGAATTGAGGACAGTCTTCAACAAAAGCCAACATTCCATCCTGCTGGACTACTCTAAAGCATATGATACGGTTCGTCGTAAAAGACTATTACTGTCAATGGCTGACAAGGGAGTTCCGTTACGTGCACTCTGATGGATCCATGGTTTCCTGAGAAACAGACAAGCCCGTGTTAGCCTGAAATAGGAAATAAGCAAAATCCAGAATTTCAACCTAGGGCTTCCCCCAGGAGCTGAACTATCGACGTTGCTGTTTATATTCTTCATAAACAACCTTGCAGAATCCCTCCAAAACCCTGACTTACAACAACTAACCTCCGCCAAGCTGATCTACTCCATGTTCGCTGATGACTGCACAATACTGGCCAGTCATGCAAAGAAAGAAAAGGCAAAGGAAGCGTCACAGTTGATTGTGGGCATGGTTGTGAAATGGAGCAAAGAATGGAAACTTATCTTGAATGCAACCAAGGCTGAGGTGTACTTCTTCTAAACATGAGTGAAGGAGGCAACGTAGCAATCAGTAATTCAGATCGAAGGGAAAAAAGATACCATTCAGCCCCGCTGAGCGTCTATCTGGATAGACAGCTAACCTTCAACAAGCACCTTGAGGACGTGTCCAAAAGTGCACCCTCAAAAATGAAGGTGATCGGTGCTGCAGGCAGCTCAAAATGGGTTGGGGTTATTCTGCCCCAGCGTGGCAGCGTTGGCTGAGTGAGACCATTGCAAAGGCCCTGGACAGACTATAAAACATAGCCCTCCGCCTTGTATGAGATCAGCTGAAAACAACACCAACAGAAGCACTGCGCTTTGAGACCAGAACTGAGCACTACTCCACCTATACAAAAAGAACATGCCTCAAGTCTGTAGAGATGGTTAAGCGATTGCCAAACAGCCACCCTAGGAAGAAAGCCTTTGATTAAGCAGCAAAGCCAAAAAAAAAGCAGGAACAGTTGGTTTCGGATCAGCACCAACCTAGCAGACTACCTCCCCCCTGAAGCAGAGAATCGATGGCCAATCAATCTGGTGAGAGCTTGTAAATGGGAGACAAATGGCGAAATCGAAATCCGGGCAGAACTGAGAGGAGTGGAGAGCAAGGGTGATGATCCTGTTAAGGTGCGTGAAGCTGCAGAGGAAGCAATGAAGAAGGTTGTTGCCGATGTGACACTGATGGATCGGCTGTTGCAGGATACTGCCAAGATGGAGCAGCAGCAGTGGTGATAATGAATGATGGCCCACCACGAACAGATATCGTTAGAACTAAAGGTGCATTCTTCACATCATCTTATGACGAGGAATACCAGGCAATGATGTCTGCTACACAGTTGCCACAGCAGAACCAATGTGGTGATCTTGACTGACAGTCAGTCCCTCTGCAAGGGACTGCTAGGTAACAGCTCAGATATAAATTATTTGCGCGCAAGTTCAGTGAAACCACAGCCTCAAAATAAAAAAATATCCAGAGGATTTCAAGCCATGTCGGAATCGAAGAAAATGAGGCAGCAAACCAAGCTGCTAAAGAAGCCAAAGAGATTGAAGAAGACAGACGACCAATAACATACCGAGGAGCCTTTCCAATGATCCAGAGGGAAATCAGAGAACTACCGTGCAGAGCTAAGTACCAGCACTTGGAGAATGTGTATTCTGTGTACTTCAATAAGCAGGAACAATTAATCACATGTCGCTGGGACCAGGCTGAGCTAGCGAGACTGCGGTCGGACCATCATTGGAGAATGAGATGGTATAAGAACTTTGCGAATGAAGAGCTCAACCCACGTTGCCGAAGATGCAACCATGAAAGGGATGATGTCAAATATTTGTTTGAATGTCCAGGAACAATGGCAACTGGAATAGAGTTATTTGGACGAGTGGAGGTGCCCCTGAGTTTAATGACAATGTAGCCGAAAAGATTTCTTCGTGGAGTCCACCAGGCTCATCAAGGAAACATAAACATCATCATCATCAACGTCATCATTTATTATTATAATTAATATTACTATTATTATCATTATTATTGCACCCTTTCATATTATATATATTATTCAATACACATATGTGAGGCAGCGTGGTGGAATCAGGCTCTCGTCAATTTTTGGGCACGTAGAGTTATTGGTATCATCTTAAAGCTTTTTCATTTGTTTTATTTGAATTTAAAAAATATGCATTTATCTTGAATACAAGTCGAAATATTTGCGAAAGAAGGAGGTGGGGGTCGCCTATTTTCAGAGGTAAAATTAGTAAGAAAATGGACGCCAAAGATTAGTTATTTCCTTAGCTTAAGAGTCCATGGTAACTGAACATTTACATTTTTTGTAACTTTAATCAACGTTTTTCAGAAAAATCCGCACAGAAATGAGTTCTTTAATGGACATGAAAGGTGTTAAGCCAAAAAAAACGAAAATTTGATAAAAATTCACAAAACCGGCGGAAAAATGGAAGTTTCTTCACTTTGATTGTTTTGACGAGAGCCTGATTCCACAACGCTGCCTCACATATCTCAGAAAGTGACGCCTTTAGTACACTTTCAATAGGGGTAGGCTACTGAATCAAACAGAGGAAAGAACGTTGAGATACGAAACAAACCACGATATCTGCTTTGAGAGTCGGTGAGCTCACCTACCAGTAAAGCAACTGTATACGGGACCAGGGAGATGGGTACATTAATGCCACCGATTATAGATGGGCTCGGAGCAATGCCGTCATCCCCTCGTGTGAGATTTTCGTCTCTTGCCTCGGGACCCCGGTATACCAGTGGCCCATCTGTGGAAAA